AGCTGCCATCAGCCTCGGCACAGGGGATCGGTATGCACAGAGTCTAGGTGCTAAAAACCCCGTGGGCGGGAGGGTGGAGGTAATTTCTGGGACCTGATTTGAAGCAGGAAAGGGGGGCAAAATGAAGTATTGCAAGGAACAGGAAGATGTGGCGACTCACTTGGTGGGATGCCTCAGCAGCAGGTTTAGGCACACACAAGACAGATAATTTCTTAAAAGCATAGAGGGAAAGATGGACTTGCCTAGCCTGGGTGGGAGGAAGAAATTTCCCCTCCTGGATAAGGTAGAGTTGTTTTTCATTCTGTGAAACCATATAAAGAAAGAACTGAAGAGTTTCTATTTGCCTCTCTATTGAGGTGGACAAACCATCCAGCCCAAAGGTACTACAAGATGCATACGGCCAAGACTCTTCTTACAATTACTCTTTGCTTTATCCACTTTGTACCTCCTGAAATACTAAATACCATTTTGAAGTTCTTACTACTCTGTTACCATTGATGTCACATGGTTTGGAGAGAAAAAAAAACAAACACACAAACAAAAAACCTGCACCTCAACCACTCAAATTGGGAATGACACCAAAATCAAGGAGATTCTGCATGTCTACCTAGTAACAGTATGGAATAATTCAATGGAATTCAATGGAAAATTATCCCCAAACCCACTACAGAATAAATCTGAGTACTAGAACTTGTCCAATCATGACCAAGGAGTTTAATTTTTTTAAATTTCTGCCAAAAATGGCTGCTGAATCTTCTAAAGCATCCTTCTGCTCTTGAGACCATAAGCATAAAATCAACTGAGACATGATGGTCTAAGCACTGTATGTCTTAATCCAAAAAACTTGAGACTGCTATAGAAGTGAATATGGATTTGAATTTTATCTCTTCCCTGAATTAAGGTAATGAACTTGATCACGATGTGAAGAAGAAAGAAAATTCTTTATTTCTTCAGGCAATTCATAACATAGTTTCCTATTTTTGGTCAGAAATTTGGCATAGCTTTTTGCACCCCATCACAATAATTGATGATGATGATGATGATTTTTTTTTTTTTCAGAAGAGCCATGAAATGTCATTTTTATCAAATTCCAATGTGAATAGATATGGATCCAACACTAAGCTGAATAACCACAGTTTGTAATGTGGCTACATAAATTTCCTCAGCAAAATGATTTCTTTCAGAATTAGTTCTGCCATCCACTGACTAAACAGAGATTCTGCATGTCATTCTTCTGCCCTTTTTATCCCTCTCACCAAGAGCTAGCCTGCTGCAATCACATCAGTTTAGAAGCTGTGAGAAAGGCTTTATCCAGAAGAGGGAAAGTATTGCAAATAATGAAACAAACATGCAGCAACAGAATGGAGCACTGATTTGTAAGGTCCAGTAAATAACAGGTGATGAATTTATACCAAATAACCACAAGCGCTTTTCTATTATGAAGTACCCCATATGTTAGGAAAAGCCACCAGAAAACATGCAAAACTCTCTGTCCATTTGGAAAAATGGAACCCAACTTAGAAGAAAGTAATGTGGGTGACACAGGAAGAATCCAAGAGCAAAGCTCCCTTTAATTTAATGAATCTCAAATTGACACCCACAAGCATAACAAATTCACTTGAAACAATTTCTGGTCTCCTAGGGAAATGACAAGGAGATGGAAAGGGCATCAGCTGACTACTCCAGGTTCTAGATCCTTTGAGGTCATTCTACTAATTTCATATTGCAAAACATTGCCTATTGCCTAACGGCCAATTGTTGGAGGGAACTGGAATTATGACCCATTTATTTTTCCAGTGCAAGTAGAAGCAAACACAGCACTGACCTGTGTCTATTTGTAGTGCCTCACATGGAAGGGTTAAATCAGGTATAAACAGCCCTTTTCCTGCACAGCAGTCAGCTTTTAAGCAGGCTCAAATATACTGTGAACAGATTAAAAACTGCAGTGGGAAGTGATAGCTTTCAAGGAGTGCTACTATGGTTTTGCCTTCCCTCTGATACACAAGGGTTATTTATAATAACCCTTGTGTATCAGCCTGGAAATAACACTTGCCATGGTCTTCAAAAAGAAGGAATCACATAGTCACATAAATTTTGGCAACCACTCTTTCCACTTCCTTCCTGTCCAACACTAACCATTCCAGTGACTCCAAAGGGATGTCAGGGGAGAGTTTTCAGCCTGCCTTTCTTGTAACGCCTTTCTTATCAGACCAGCCAAACATCACATGTCCCCAGCAGATACTGCTCCAAAGCAGCACTGGCACATTAGCTCCAGCCAGGTGGTGCTTCAGATGCTGAAGTAACACACTCCCTAAAGATTAACAAAGAGGTATTTGTACCTGAGGCAAATGACAATGATCATGACTGTCAATCAAGGTCAACCTTCTATCACTTGATCCTTTTTTTTTAGGAAATATGCAGGGTATAATTTTTACCATTTGGAGTAGCAACATTGTCCAAAGCTGCTTGCAGCCAGTAGACAGAAGTACATCCTGACATTGCCATTAGGCATGGAAAGATGGCATTATTGCTAAAATTATTCTTCTGACACCAGTTGTAGGGCTCCCTGGTATTTCTCTGTGAGTTTTGCCATGCTACAAAGCAGACTGATCTATTTAGAAAAGCCTTGTAAGTCGATGACACAGAGTCAGACAGCAAACCGGGGCTGATTTACCAGCATCACTTAACATCCAAGGATACCAGGATCATGTTTTTCAGGATAAGAAAATGTTCAAACAGGACTGATCAGAACATTGTACACCCCAGTAATTCTGCTGAGTGTACTCAGAATGAAAACTACTAAGAACATCTCTTTTTTCAACTAAGCTTTAACCAGCTATAACAACAACAAAAAGCATTTATTAGTTTTGCTTATGTCTTCTCAATGTTTCAACCCCACATTCATCAAACTCCTTACCTGATTGCTACTCAAGGGTGAAATAATCTCTGGAAGTTTTGTTTTGATATTTATCAAGACTGAAGTTCATACATTACATGTGGAAAATTCTCCAAAAGGCCAGAATAACCTTAGAGGTAACCTATTGCATAGGAAGCAGTGTCAGGTGCAATATTTATTAATGGAAAACACACTGTCTTCTTGCACTGAAGTGCAAATATGTGCTCTTCTGCATTCTCACTCTGATCTATGTCTGCTACTCTTTAGGTCTCTATAGATTCCATCTATGCCACCAAACAGGAGCATGTTTATATCTGACCACAGTAATGCTAGTTATGCTTCATCTTTGGCCATCAACAAACAAATTTTGAAAACACTGAAGAAGTATCTTTAAGTACTGTATAACTCACACTAGGATGACTACCAAATTTAGCTCTGTCTACAGAAGCATTATTGTTTCCATACCAGATAAATTCAACAATTACAGAAAGTAATTGTATCCTGTGGCTTACAACAGGCTTGAGTCTTTGCATCTCAAAACAGGGAAATCCACTACTGTTCTGATTACATTTGTATGCCTCAGCAATGTATAAATACCCACAGATGTGTAGGCACTGCATGGCTATCAATACCTATCTCACATATTGTCCATTTAAATCTTGGATGTGGTTTGTGTTTAATTGACACTGAATGCAATAAATTAATTTGTCAATGCCTAAAACTTATTGTACTGATTAAATGCATACAATTTTCTCCCAGCTCTGGCTTAGGAGTGACAGCAAGCACAACACAGGGTCCTTTGGGAGAATTCCTGAACTGAGTGAGCATTTTGTGTCCACTTTCAATGTTTTCTCCCCAAACAGCTAGAAGTTTGTTGTATCATCTGTTCTTGTTGCCTCTACCACAGCAACATGGTCTATAATGGAATCTTTTGTTGTAATATCTCCGTTTAGATGTGTTGTACTTGTTACCCATTTGTTTAATACCACATGGTCTGCATTGCAAGAAATGCTTGCTAGCTCTTCCCCATCAACCTTGCCCATCATTCTGTACTATCTAGGGACTTGTCATCCCCTTATTCAGAGATCTAGATCATTTATGACTGTGCTGAGAAATGAAAGTCTTACCTGGTCCCTCTCCCTACTGTAACAATAGTTAAGAATCATAACAGTTTTCCCTTCTAAATAATAGCATCATTCACATATATTTCAAATAATACTTAAAGAATTTTATTTAAATATAAATATGCCAGAACTCCTTCTAAATCCTGCAAAAAATTAAGGGAAAAGAAACTGCACTGAAAATATTAATTTTATAGGCAACAAAAAAAATATGTGTGATACCTAAAAAGCGTGGAAATACCTCTTGAAAGACCACAGGTCCATATATCCTATTTCAAGAGTCAGGAAATTAACATCTAAGGCTAAGATTGTGCTTACTTATAGTCCTGATGAGTGATGAAATCAAATACTTGCTCTCCTGAAGTATAGGAGCAAAACCCCTGCAGCCTTTAGACCAGATCTCTGATCACATTTCAAAGAATGTTGTCACTAGTAACTCTCTCTTTCTGAAATTGTTTTCTAGGCCTTTCTTCTGGCTGATATGTCAGGAACACCTGCTATAATGGGAAAAAAAATGTTAGTACGAGTATTAAAATAAGTAAAATGTGACAACTCAAAAAATACAAAGCATGCATTCTGCAAACAGTCTACATCTGAGGAAGAAGTGGTACAATTTACTGCTGTCAGATCATTATTTAGCATTATCATTTTATTACCTCCTTATCACATTTTATGAGGTCATTAACTCAGAAGATTCTCCCCACAATCTCAAAGAACGCAGTGCATAGACATACAGCTGTATGTCGTTTCGAAAGGCAACGCCTTGGTATTAAATCTCCCTTCTTGTTGACTAAGCTTGAAAGCAGACAAAGATCAAACCTCAGAGACCATCTTCTCTTAAGGACATTTTTCCAAACTCCCCATTTTGCAGCTGAGGAGGGATCCCGCGCTCCCTGCGGCTCGGGGTGCAGCGGCCCGGGCCCGGGCGCGGCGCTGCCGCCGGCGGCCGCTGAGGGCGCCCGCTCGCCCGCCCGCGGCCCGTCCCGCCATTACTGGCATGGAAGGCGAGAGCACCTCGGCCCTGCTCTCGGGCTTCGTGTTCGGCGCCCTCACCTTCCAGCACCTCAGCACCGACTCGGACACGGTGGGTGCCGAGGGAGGGCCGGTCCGGGTCGGTGGGAGAGGAGGGAGGGGCGGGCCGCCCCGCCGCGCTGCCGCCGGGCCTCCCCCGCCCGGCCCAGCCGGGAGAGCGCCCGGCGGTCTTTTTGTGTGCGAGCGGCGGAAAGCGTGGGTGTTCCGTGCTCGAACGAGGCGAGTGGCGGCTGCAGCGCCATGGCCGCCCCGGGCCGAGCGCAGCGCTGGCCGGGCCGCCCGGCCCCAGCCTCGGCGGGCAGCCCCGCAGCCGCTGGCTGCTCGGGCTCGGCGAACACGGGAGTAACCGCAAACCGACCAAGACACAGAACTGCCTCGCTGAGGATTTTTTCCTAACTGCGGGCCAGTATTGAAAAATGAGCGAGAACCCACTGTATTAAAACTAAAAAATAGAAAAAAGTTCGTTTTGACAGCATTTTTCCTCTCCTGAAGACAGCACTCACACTTGGTATTAAAGAAAATCATGATAGAATATGCTGAGTTGGAAGGGACCTACAAGGATCATGTAGTCCAACTTTTGGCCCCGCACAGGACACTGAGAATCCCACCACATGCCTGTGAGAGTGGTGTCCAAATGCTTCTGGAATTCTGCTAGGCTTTGGTGCTGTGATCGTTTCCCTTGGGAGCCCGTTCCACTGCTCAAACACCTTCCGGGGGAAAAGCCTTTTTCTGATATCCAACCTAAACCTCCCCCAACTCAGTTTCATACCGTTCCCTCGCGTCCTGTCACCGTCGACAGAGGGAAGAAATCGGTGTCTGAAGCTCCACTTCTCCCCTTGAGGCAGCTGTAGAATGCAATGAGGTCTCCCCCCACTCTTCTCCAGGCTGAACACACTATGTGACCTCAGCCACTCCTGCGCTGGCTTCCCCTCTGGACCCTCCGCTATCTTTGCGGCCGTCCCTTGGACACTTTCTAATAGCTTTGTATTTTTCTTACATTGTGGCACCCAAAACTGCACACAGGACAGGGGGTGAGGCCACACCAGCACCAAGAGCAAGTGTCTGTTCAGTGCTACTGTTAATGTGGTTTTTTTTCCTCTCTTCCCCGCTAAAGGAAGGTTTTCTCCTTGGAGATGTGAAAGGTGAAGCCAAGAACAGCATCACAGACTCACAAATGGACGATGTTGAAGTTGTTTATACAATCGGTTAGTGTGTCCACATTTTTCATAGCCTGCTTGGTTTTGGGCAGTAAATGACAGCTTTCAGTTTTGAGGGACAGCAGTCTACAGCAAGATCAAAGCTCCAAGATCCTACATGCTTTGCTGATATATAAAACAAAAAAAAAAAAACCCAAACCAAAAACACATGGAAGGGTTATTTTGTAACATTTTAACTACTAACAAGATTACAATTTTACTGCAGAAAACACAGTAATTTAAAAGAAATAATAGTTTCTAGTTCCTTGGATGGCTACTCTTTGCCAAGTATCATCTGACATTAAACATAAATTAGGGTTTACACCCTCGTCTTGGCTACATCACAAACTCTCCTGGATTACAGTTGCCCTTTTCCCAAAGGAAAAGCTCAGTCTATCAGTGGTGTGAACTGTAATGTATTAGCATCTATTACCTCATTTGGAGCTTATAAAATTATGTGTGTGAAGGCTGCAAGCTCTTTAATAATTTCATTAAGCAGATGTCAGATGTATTTTTGTTATCATCTTGATGTGATTGGTGTTGATGAGCATTGAATAACTCAAGTGAAATCCTTCATACTACATATTTCTCCTTCACTCAGTAGAAGGAGAAAAATGCAAAGCACCCAGCTTGATTTTTCAGTTGACATAATAGAAAAGTATACCAAAAATGCAGTTTATATAAGTGGGTCCCTATACTTTTGACAAAATTAATTAGAATATATTTTAAAAATATTTCCTTTTTTCACCTTATTTAATGTTAATGCATTCCATTTTAAGAAATCATGTAAAATTATTTCTTGGTCCTTCTATGAGTTTCACGCTGATCATACCATGCAAAAGAATATACATCTTGAGCTGATGAACCCAGAGTAATGTTACTTTATCTTTCCAGACATACAGAAGCATATTCCATGCTACCAGTTGTTCAGGTAAGAATCTCAAGGAAACAGATATTGAAAAGTTAAAATTAACCCTAATCTGAACTCTTCAAGTGTTAAACTTACATTGTCTAAGAAAATCACCCAGCTGTAACTATAGTAGCCATATCAACCTCTTGGAATTACAGATGCAAAATGCCTTATGCTATTCCTATTTTGGTTCTTTGTGTCTTTTTTTTTTTTTTTTTTTTTTTTTTTAATGTTTGTCTATGCATATAGAAATAGAGATAAAGCGTATTGCACCTTATGGTCACCTATGGTACCATATAAACTACAGAACAATGTCAACACACTGAAAAAAGAGAATTCCATACATTCTAATCCCTCATTCTTAATAGTATTAATTTTTTTTTAAAGCAAGATGATTCTCAGCATGCTAAAGTTATTTTTCCAGTCTAATTTCTTCCCCTCTAATTGTCCTAATTTTCTTACAGCTTTTATAATTCTGCAGGAGAACTGAATGAACTTGCCCTGAAGAAAATACTATCAGGCTGTAAGAAGGTATTTTATTCTTAAATCTAAACCATACTGAGGAGCTCACTCAAATTTTGGAGATTGTTCTGGATTCCTCTTGCATCAAGGTTTTTTCTTTTCTCATTTTAAGCCTTTTTTAGTCGCTCATGCTACTGGTCAGGGCAGCAACATCCTTTCCCTCCATTAAAAAAACAGTTTAGCTTATCTTTGACTAGGATTTGCCTACGTATGTGTCACAACTTTATTTTGAATTATTAATTTCTCAAGTGAACACTTCAAGGATCCCAAAGCAATTGCACCAGTTTCCACCTTAAGATCAGTTGAGGTCAGCTCACAAGTGGTTAAGATCATCAAAAAGAACTAAATTTTTTTCCACAGAACAAAGTTTTACAAGCAGAAAGTAGAAGCTGAAAAGAAACAGCAAAACAGAAGAAAGCTTGCGGTTTCAGCTTGAACACAGGCTAAGAAACAGACCAATTCAACACATGGTTTTGAAGGAAAGAAGATGGGAAATAGGCTTAGAAGTTTTAAAGGTTTCAAGTTAACTAATTGCTTGACTATGCACCTACTAGCAAACAATTCAGACATGACTTTGCACTGGATGAAACTTGCTTCAGTGACACACAGGGACATCATGATTCAACAGTAACTGTGAATTTTCTTCTGCCTGCAGAGTGTAATAGGATGGTACAAATTCAGACGTAACACAGACCAGACCATGACATTCCGGGAAAGAGTTCTTCATAAAAACCTGCAGTCACACCTATCAAATCAGGGGCTTGTATTCCTCCTTTTAACCTCTAGTGTGATGACAGAAACTTGTTCTACTTACAGACTGGAACATGCTCTACATCGGCCTCAGGAAGGGTAATGTCTACAGCATGTGCTAAAACTTGAAGGTTTCTCTACTTTGTTGCAATTGAATCAGTAACACTGTATATTTTACCTTTGAAACTTACACTTCTAATAAGATTGTTCCTTATGTTGCCACAGCCCAGTTGAAGGCTTATCCTGGAATTCTGTTCTGGGATTGCCTTTTTTATCTATAGTGCCAGCATCACCAAGCAGACACTGTCAGTTTATTTACATGCATAAGCTACATCTGATCAAATTGCTTTGTGTACAGGACCTCAACCATACATGGTGTTCATCAAAATATTTAAATTGGTGTTAACTTTATCTTCAGAGAGATTCTGCTCGCAGGCTAGGCTTAGCAAGCAAATGTTGAATTAGTGTGTGTTGTTGTCAGAAAGGGGGGCAATTATGGGCATTGCTCATCTTCTGGTTGCTCTTGGAGTTTGCCTTTAGCCTCATCTGTACATGATGTAATACATTTAGCAAGGATTAACCATACTATAACCCTTCCATTGGATCCTGAATGGCCAAAAATATTTAACTTTCAATGAAATATCTTTGGATATTAATAGATCATGTTTTCATACTTATGCATTTTAAGACTTTTCCAGAAAGTTCCTTTGGTGGTTACCAACTTGGGCATGGCAGAACAGCAAGGTTACAGAACAGTGTCCGGTTCCTGTGTATCCTCTGGTTTTGTGAGAGCCATGAGACAACACAGGTACAATACATGTTGTATTTACTGACAGCTATAGCTTCCCACTACCATAACTACACTTACTTTTTTATAAAAGCATTTAAGTGCTTTTGCAAATGTTATAGCCATACCTTGTTTCACTTGACCTGTTTTCTACAATTACTTACCATTCCAGCATACTAGGAAATTAATTCAGTCCCATATTTTGCCAGGAGCTGTCTGTCTCAACACAGGCATCTGGCATTGAAGCACAAAATGCTTCTTTACTCACTAAAGCTCCTACTAAGTAAGCATTGGAATCACTAGCTTGCAATTATGCTCTTCTACTCCTGGTCACAGGTCTGAATTCTTCCATGAAGATGGGTCCCTACAAGAGGTTCATAAGATAAATGAGATGTACGCCACCTTGCAGGAGGAACTGAAGGTAAGCCAGGCAGGCCTGCCTACCTTCATCAGTTCTACAAAACCAAGGCAGCCAAGGGCTACACTTTGCACTGCATGAGAAAACAAAGCCATAACCTGAAAGGTCAGCAAGTTCTACTTACTGCGCTGCACACTACATTCTCAAAGCTGAGGATTTAAGTTCCCATTTGATTATAGTACAATCATTAATCTTCAAGTCCATCAATAAATTCTCTCAACAGGATTATTTTGAAGGAGTACTCTCTGTAGTTTGTTAGATCTCCTTTGCCTAGATGGGATCAAATAAAACATCTTGCACCTGGTTCAACACAAGGTTTAAGTTATCTGACAGATTCACCTCTAAATCATTACTTAAGCTTTTTACTACTCTATGTCCAACTTAACCATTAGTACCTTCAAGGATTTTTGAACAATTTTAAAGTCAGCTACTGTAAATACTGTTAGTCTGATCAACATGCTCTTCTCCTCGCAGAAAATATGCATTACAGTAGAAGTCAGTGAACGATCTGTAGAGAAACTCTTAGCAGAGGTGAGCCAATTAAAAGAAGAAATAAAGAGGAAAAAGCAACAAAATTGTTCAGGTAAGTCAACCAAATGTGATGCAAGCCTTGCCCTTCCAAGTTGACTCAAGTGGCAGAAGCAGAACACACTTCTGAACCTGAGGCAGCCAAAACAGCAAAGGTGCAAGAGGTTCTGACTTTGATTTTTTTTTTTTCCCCAGGAGAAGACAAAAACCATCCAGCAGAGCCAAAGGAGAATGTTCTCCTTTGCCAGGCACTACAAACATTTTTCCCCAATTCCAGACTTCAGACATGCATTGTTTCTTTCAAAGGCCAACAGATATCCAAGAACTGCTGTAACACAGATCATCATATTAATGTCATGGACAAACTGACTCTTATGGTAGAGGAAAGAGACTTCACTGAAGCTGAAACAAGGCATCTAAACAAGCGTAAGGTCAGGGAGACCACGTCAGTTTCAAAGTCATTCAAGAAGTCCAGATCATTGCAGCTTCACCAAGAACCACTTCAAGACCAAGAGGACAGTGACCAGGAAAGGAAGCTTACACTGAGTAGCACTGAAACAGATGAGGATGTGTTTGAAAAAAACAGAGATGCAAAGGAATACCCACACTCTCCTACTTTCTGATCTGCCAGATGACTTCATGCCAAAACCTACTGCTGGTGTATTCCAGTGATGTATCATTTTCTAGCACTGCAAGGATGTATGTAACAGGGCATTTTTGCAGGTCGTTTTTTGTTTTTGGTTTTTTTTTTCCCCAGTGCACGAATCCTGTTCAGCATAAAGATAAATCCAAGATGACATTCCCTCACTTTGCCTTCCAGAGTTCCACCTGTCTTCTATCTCTCAGGGTTCAAAGCCTATGCTACAGGATGCTATCAGTGAGATAAGCATGTCATATGCTGCCTCAAAGTGATACAACTTCAAGCTGCTGGTGAAGAAACAGTGCTACCTACCCTCCTGATGCAGGGAGCATCAAATGAACATGTTACAGAATTAGCTGTCTACATGAACTGCCACAATTTAAATACATTAATTTATCCTCAGGAAACCAGTGCTTGTTTACTTCTCCACATCTTACAACCCAGCAAGGGGAAAAACAGCCACCTGAGCTTTAGCAAGACTGGTGAGCAGAGGAAGGGGTCCATAGAGCTACCACTTTCTATTATTGCTTTAATCTTCCTTCAGACAATAACTTTCAGAGACTTCATGAAGAAAAATAAAAGAATGACTGACATCCACCCCTCAGCCAACCACACATTGTGCTAGCAAACCACATTTCCAACAAACAAGTACATAAACATGAAAAACAGTTTTATTGTTTATTTCTGTACAGTATATCACTCTGGATACTTGATGTTACATAGCTTGGGGTCTGTGAGAAATTGTGGGTTCTTAAACATAACTGGCATAAATCCTGTTAAAAAAAAAAAAAAGATGGAGGTGTTCTTAGTAGAAAAGTAGTCTTGAGTTAGAAAATTCAAAAGCAAAATCATACTTACCAAATACATGAGCTCTTTTAATGGCTTTTGTAATTTCCTTCTGCTTCTTGTTGCACAAGCCTAAAGAGATGAATTATTTTCAACACTAAGCAAGTCATTAGAGTGTGAAAGGCATGTTACTGACAATTCCCTCTAACTTGGATTAAGTCCCTCTAGAAAAATGCATGTGTGCTTTTACTGTTAAATACAAAATGCATACAATTAAAGGATATTTTAATTCCTTCATGCAGGCTACTAAGTCAGGGAAATACTCTTAAAAATATATGGAGTTGGGACTGGTTACTTTCAGAAAGACTGCTGATGCACAGTTACTTAGACTCACAAAAATATTATTATTGCCCTGTATATGATTTAATTTAATACTTCACATACCTGTGATATGCCTGCCATAAATGGAGCCCGTATATGGAGAAACAAACTGGGAAAGAAGCTAGTTAAATTAGGAAAAATCAAAGTCAGTTTAAGAACTTTTTTTTTTTGGAGCTTTATGTTACCATTTGTACTCTATTTTTCATTTTTTCATCTGTTTTTTCAAAATTCAGTTCTACCTGAAGAAAAAAGTACAGCTTGGAGCTAGACAGTATTTTCTATGCTTCCATGCTTTGTGGCAGCTGCATTGTAACTAAGGACTCTATTTGTTAAACAGCAAAGTTGTCACACATAGTTAGTAGATTAAGCATCTTAGCATGATTATGTTATTTGGCCCTTGACCTACACACATTCTTACTCATACGTTTTAAACCCCTCCACATATGAATGGATTTTATAATTAGTTTTTTTAATCACTTTGGACTTACTATACACACATTTAAAAACAGTAAACCAGTTCCCTTCATCCAAGGACAGCAATTTTAAAACTCACCTGCACATTCTTATAGTCCACATTTATTCCACATAGGACACATCTCTTTGGAGGGTCTTTGTAGGGGTTCTCCATTTGTATGGGCTGAAATCAGAGAATGATTAACATTTGTAAGCTTCAAAAGAAAATAGAGAACATTTTTTACTTTTAATCCTTTAATCAATATTTGTCTTGAAACCAGAAGAGATATTTAGTGCACCACTGAACTTTTCAATAACTTTATTAACTCACTTCTTGGTAACTCACAACTTCAAAGACTTCTCACAAGTAAACAGTCTTTTATATTTTAGTAACAACGACACTAGCAACTCCATTAAATCATTTAGTAAGAGAGTGCTTACACCTCTACTTGAAGTCAAAATCTGCAGAAGCTGGTAAAAATGTAGTTCTGTCTGACAAGTCACAAGAATCTTTTTTTAAAAAATAATTTCATGGCAAATGGCCTGAGGAAGTTTCCATGTGCTCACACACATTTTAAAGAGAGAGATTCAGAAATATCTCCCAAGGAGCCTCCTTGGGAGGTATTTCTGAACAGCCTCCTCAGGCTTCAGAATACACCCAGCACCAAATTCTTACAAGATATGAAAGGTGATTTTTCACTTTGCACAGAGTCACAGAACAGTCAGTGTTGGAAGGGACCTGTGGAGATCATCCGGTCCAACCCCCTGCCAAGGCAGGGTCACCTGGAGCAGGTGACACAGGAACACGTCCAGGTGGGGTTGGAATGTCTCCATAGAGAGAGACCGTGACCTCAGTCGGCAGCCTGTTCCAGGGCTCTGCTGCCCTTAGTGTAGAGAAGTTTTTCCTCATGCTGAGGTGAAACTTCTTGTGTTTTTAGTCACGGCCACTGGTCCTTGTCCTGGCGCTGGCTCCGCGTCCGAGCTACTGAGATATCAGGTTTAACAGGCTGTCATTAAGATATTGAAATACAGATTCGTGGGGCCTGAACTTCCAGAGCCTGATGACCTCCCTCAGCGCTGCACTCCCCACAATGCATTCGGGGTCTGACGAGCCTCGAGCTACACAGCGACCAGAGCAAAGCGTTTCCAGCCACCGCTGGTGTCTTGCGGAGGGGGAGCAGCGGGACAGCAGGGCGGGACAGGTCGAGGAAGCCTCACCTGGTCTGAGCGCTCAGGCTGCCCTTCATGCTGGAGGCGGCGCGGCCGCGCCCACAGCTCCGCTGCAAGGGAGAGCGACAAGGTTAGCGACGGCGCGGCGCGACAGCCCGCACACGTGAACGCCCCCGCGGCCGCTAGAGGCAGAGAGGGAGCGGGAGGGACGCACCGAGAACCAGGCGCGGCCAGGACCTCCGCGCCGCCACGGCCTGCGCCGCCATGACACCCGCACCGCGCGCCGCCACTTCCGCCCGCGCGTCACTGCCGCCGGCCCCCCGCTGGCCAATAGCAGCGCGGTCTTCCCGACTCGGGGCAGGCGATTGGCAGCAGCCCGGCCACGTGCTTCCCCCGGCGGGTTGTTGCCCGGAGTCCCCGCTCCCGCCATGGTGGCTGCGCCTCCGCGGGGCGGCCCGGCGGTCCCGCTCCGTGCCCTGCCGCGGCAGTGACGGTCCTGCGCAGCCCTGGCCATGGCGGAGCCTGGGCTCGCCGTGCGGAGGAAGAGCCGCTCCAGATCGGAGCGCAAGCGGAGCCGGGCCCCAGTGCAGCCTGTTGCCGCTAGCTCGCCGGTGGCTCGCAAGAGACCGAGCTCTGGCGGCGAGGGACCCCCGGCGGAGGCCCTGGTAGGGGATGGCGGGATCCTGGGGCTGGTGTCGAGGCGGGGCAGCTCCGCTGGGAGGATGGTGTGTGTCCGGAAGGGTCGTATTTTGTATAAGAGGGTATGCTGCCGTTTGGCTTTAGCTTTAAAAAAATCATCTCTGTCATCTCTCTGCACGTATTCTCCTACTTGTAGGTTATCTGTTTCACTTAGTCAAGGCATTTCTTCAGAACCTGAGCTGGGTTTTCCTCACAGACGACATCACACAAAATGCTTTTGTGTTAAGCTGGGGCAGACTTAAGCGACTTGGCTCTGATGTTTGCGCTCTGCATGTTATTCTGCCTTCCGTGGCGTTGCCTCAGGGTGTCGATAACTCCTGTTTCGTTTTTGCAGTGCAGTAATGATAGCGAGGAGGATATGTTTGGTGACTATGACAGCTTTTGTGGAAACGATTCCTTGATCGCTCAAGTGGATGATGTTGAGCACAAATACCTGCAGGATAAAAATATGGATGTGAAAGCAGCTGGAGAGATTGTACTTGGGAACCTTCAGTCAGGAGTTCACCAGAAAGAGCAAGACCACTTCTCTGCTTCACAAAATGCGGTTGTTCTTAAAAGTGACGATGAGGGTGCCTGCCAAGTGCATGACAGTGACCCAGCTGATGGCAATCAAAAATTAACTGAGTCTATTTTAGATGACTTGCCATCGTCGCAACTCCTGTATTTTGAAAAAATGGATGAACTTTCTTCTGCTTCTAGAACATCTCCACTCTCAAAAGGGAGAGATGAACGTGTGAATTCTTTCTCAGACAAAATCAGAGACCCACTGTCTTTTTATGCTGGTGCTGAACACAGGAACAGACCTATTGATTCTTCCTCACACTCCAAGTGTGTTTTATTTAAGTCTGAGAGTCTCAAAGATCACCTGAAAAGTGCTATGACTGGAAATGCCAGAGCCCAGACTCTGCAGGTCTCCAAGACCAAGCAGCTCAAAGAAGCTGTTTTATCTGAAGAGATTTTTGTGGCTAGGAAAGCTATTGAATCTTCTTCTCTTGATATAGGCCCTTTTTATGGATTACCTAGCAAGGTTAAAGATTTATTCAGACAACTTCGAGGGATTGAAACACTTTATGGTAGTGTAACCAATGGTCTGTTGGAAAAAAAAAAGAACTGCTAGTGGAGTATTGTCTGTTTCACCCATTATACTGTAAAAATATTTAAGGTAATGCTTAACATAAACCACATTGGAAAGTAGTTGTCCTGTTTTAGGAAGTGGCTGTTTTGGTGTTTTAGATGGATGGAATGGATGGATGGTATCCATCTGGATTACAGAATAGTTAGAAGTCACCATCACTGAAAGCTTTAAGTGCTTTTTTGAGGAAAAGCTCTCAAAGGCTGAGCTCAGAGTGTTCTGAATGAAACACAGGCATTTTCATGTTAACTAACATTCCCCTGGGGTTGCTGATAATTCCATTTATATTTTGCAGAGTGGCAGCATGATTGCCTAATGTTAGAATCCCTACAGCAAAGGAAGAACTTGATATACTCGTTGCCAACTGGTGGTGGAAAAACTCTTGTAGCTGAAATAATAATTCTCCAAGAATTACTCTGCAGGCAGAAGGATGTTCTGATGATCCTGCCATATGTTGCCATTGTCCAAGAAAAGGTCTGGATACAGTGTTTCTGGTACTGCTGTTTTTGATATAAGTCTTTCATGATACGCTTTGTTTACTTGCTCGAGTGCCTGGTTTGCAGTAAAGTTTTTATGAATATACGGTGGGAAGTGAGTGACCTCTTCTAGATGCTGCTCTGAGGGTCAGTAATTTTGGAATGGAACAGACACAAATTATGAGGTGAAGATATTGAGTTATGAAGTAAAGGGTGCTGAATTTTGAAATAATGGCTTTTTGGGATGTTTTCTTTAATTGTGCAGCGTAAGAACTGTGCTGCCCATCTTGCTAAATAAGTGATCTTGAAATAAAAACGTATTTTGGTATAAAGGGAAAGTTAGTTTTAGAGAACAGATGGAACCCAGCTATAATATGTGCAGACAGTTCAATTTTGTAGCTGAAGCAGATAATCTTAGCTAATATGTTTCACTCATTCAAGCAGCTGATTGTGGTATGGGTTGATTTTCTGTTGAGTTATTGAGGTAGATCTGCAATCCAAAATGAGCATGAATTTGTTCTCTAACTGATTTTTCTTTTACAGATTAGGGGTTTATCAAGTTTTGGGATAGAATTGGGTTTCCTGGTTGAAGAATATGCAGGAAGTAAAGGAAGATTTCCACCAATCAAAAGGAGAATAAAGAAATCTCTTTATATTGCTACTATAGAAAAAGGACATGCTCTGGTGAACTCCTTAATTGAAACAGAAAGAATCGCTGACCTCGGCCTGGTTGTGGTGGATGAGGTAGGCCACAAGATCCAGCGTATCAGGTGCAAGTTCTTTTAG